TGTGTATTTCCTTTAATATTAGTTAGAGGGGAAAATTGCCTGGTGGAGTTTGGCGGAATTGTCCGGCGCTCACCGGCTGAGTAGTTGTGTTTTCATGTGCGTATGTGATGTCTGTTGAGCCCACAATGAAGCAGGTGTTGCCCTCTACTTCATCAAAGATGGTCGTCACCAAACCGACTGCCGGCACTGATCTCTCTGGACAGTGGCTGCAAACCTCAGCCCATCGAGATCTTCATCCCCCCCCCCCCCGCGCGAGAGACTGTTACGACCGGCCCTGGGGAACCAAGCAAGAAGAGTTTGGGGGAGAACCGGTTCTTGACCGACGGGGTCGTCCACCCCCACCTCCCCATTCAGGCTCCTCCTCTCGCCGGGAGAACTCCGGAATCTGCTGTGCGTTCGTGACCATGTTTGGTAACATTTTAGGGCGCCGTGACCATATATGGACATCGTGTTAGGTTGTGCCACTCCATGTGTTGTGAGAGGTGTTTCCCCTCTCTCGTGGCCGAGGTGCCGGGGACACCGTATTGGCTGACGATGCGGACAAGGCGCCCAGTGTCAACAACGCGGTGCTATAAAATGCCGAAGACGTTTTGTACCACTCTCACTCTTCTCTCTTTGGATCAGTTGATCACTTCTCCGCATGTAAATAAATCTCTGTCGTTTGTTCGGGCGCTTCTTTCTCGCTGAATCGTCGGACGATGGATCCTGCGACGGGGCCAGCTACCGAAAACGAGACCGGCAGGACCCGGAGTCCCAACAGTGTCGAGCAGTGACAGTTGTTAGTGCGCACTCATTTTGTGTGTGCTCATTATGTACATTCTTTTTGCTTGAGGGGTTGCACGCAAGTTTTCTTTACTTGACATTGCAATTTGTTGCTCTAGCATTCATTCTTTCACCCATTTGCAGCGACGCGATGCACAATAAACGCTCAACTACCTCCGTGAAGACACTTTTCACTTTCGTCTTATACCAATATTTGGTAAGGGAGATAAGCGAGGTATATTTTATGCAGAATAACACTTTTATTTATGTCAAATAACTCTCCGTATTCCTTTCAGATTGTGAGATTCCGTGTCTTCACTACACCTGTTGTTGACCCTTCCCTTGGTAATCTCTTTTGCCTCGTCTTTTGTGATATATATCTCTGCTACGATTACACTCAAGCGTCAGTCTGCGCTCATTGTTAGCATATTACTTCGTCCGGTTTCTCGCGCTCCCAATTTCTCATAACAAATACCATAAACCTGACAACCTGCTGTTTTTTTCATATGAAACAGCTGCTTGTACTAATTTATTTTAGTTTTATGGCTCTAATTTTAACGCTTAAAACACCTAACGTGCACTATATCACCCTAGACAACCCATTTTAGCCATTTCATTTTTTAATTTTTTCTTGGATTTCATCAACGTATCTGAAAAATTGCACCAGCGCCAGACGGCGTATACTATGGAAGAAAGGCCTGTCAGTGTTTTTCTCACGTTATCAAAAACAAAGTCTACGTCCGCCATAGTGCAACATTTACTGAAGGACTCGGTGCGACGGTGACACGTTCGTTCCCAGCAACAGTATGAATGCTTGAGGACCCTGTACAATTTATTATCAGTTCTCCAGATAGACAAAATTGCCCCAGCTCACCACAACGCGGTGTCTTTTTATCACTTAGATTCTGTTACCTAGAGCCCCAAAGTGATTAATACTTCCAAAGAGAAAAGCCACCGCAAATGCGTATTTGGTATTACCATAAGCAGAATCTGCATAACACGCTTTAAAATGCCACAAAATACATCAGGCACTTTCCTGCAGTACATTAGCTAGACTAACATATAGTGTAAATCTGACGGGCTGGAAGACAAACAAACGGCGAAACACAAACTACTGGTCAGTTTCAAACAAATAACAAAAAAGCGCTGACATGCATGCCAGTGTATCTACGATGTAGTGTATAAGAATAGTGCACATTTAAATATTGTGGCACCTCACACGCTGCCACCTTTTAAGTCATTACATAAATTTATTAACCCCTAATGAGCACTCATACATTTGGACACCAAAAATTCTGCTACGAAAGAGTATCGTGAGCTTCCAGCAGTTACATATTTCAAAAACAACACCGTCAGACTCCTATTCATTTCAGTTTTTGCGTCCGGGTGTAAGTAAGTAGAGTTAGTTTTGTTTAAGGAATGGAAGTCACCAAAGCAGGGAAAAGTAAATTGGTAAACTGTGGTATTGTCGCTGGCGACGCACCATGAAACAAAACTTCAACCCCACATGTTCGACGTCAGGTGTACTAATACGGCTGCCAGATTGTTGCAGACGACATGTTTAATTGCTCGGAACCACCTTGCCGTGGACCTCGCTGCGTTGCTTCAACTTTCGTACTGGTTATTCTAAGTGCGCGATTTGTCGATGTGTCGTGTCATACTGAGCCATGATAAAAAGCGGGAAACACACAGACGCACCAGGAAATTCAAGTTAAATGGGAGCCACTGTACATTCTTTCACTTTTCAGTGAAATGAACCACTTGGTTATATAGCTCAATTCCTTTATAGTTTCTTCCGCATGAATGATGTCAGGTTTTGGTAAACTTACATTGAAGCACCTAAATGTTTTTTTTTTTTCAGAAAAGAGAAAACGCGGCAATTACATCTCCCATAGCCTTCAGATGAAGCTTGTTGCCGCCCCTAACGTATGAGAGAGAAGTCATACGCTTCCTTTTATGTAGCTTTGGCCGTGCGCGAAAAAGAAAGTTGACCTAAGAAGTGGCAAAAGCATTGCTTCTAAATAATTGTCGAAAGTTGCACTATGCACTTAGCCGTAAAATAGCAAAACATGAAGATTTTTAATACCTTTTTCGTTATTTCGAAGTTGTTTGTATCCCTTAAATATGTGAAGAGAGTTGTTTCTGGGTTGCTTCAAGACCATTGGTAGGCAATACCAGGCATATACCTCCATCTTGCAGACAAGACCATACTTTTGACATGACTTGGTGAGGAGTCATCTCATAAGGTGAACCTAATTGACAGCATCACCAGGCGCAGTTTCCGGTATCTGCTCCAGCGTATCCTGAACGCCACTTGGTACATTTAGGACTTGTCCTGGCAAACCGTGCTGTGCCCTGCTCTGTGTCAGTAACATATATGTTCATGTAATGAATCCGTGGCGAACTATTATGTTCCTGGACGTCGTTCAAAGCAGAAACTACGTCCAATGGTGCATTACTTCAAGCTTTGTATCATCAGAGAATAGCTCCCGTAGAACAAGCATGTCTTGTCTAGGCTCCTCAGAGCACCGCACAGCCGTGAGAGTAGACAAAACACGGTCAAGATCCATAACCTCGTTATTTTGCAGCCACTGCCTGTTCTAAGGCAGTCCTCTTAGATACATACTTGGGATTCCGATGGCACTGCCATTGTTGTTCAGGGATCACAGCTTGCCTTCTCGGGAGCGTGGGCTGCCCTCTTGGGCGCTATTGCTGGTCGCTAGTGATGTCGTTGTCCCTGAAATACTTGGCCCAACCCACTTCTGAAAATAGGTTCGGGCTAACTTTTGCTTTTATTCTTTTTCTTTTTAGTGAACCAGTGGTGAGTATTGTGATTTACCCGACTTCGATGGCATTTAGCCGTATATGTCAATAACTTCTCGCTGCCATCAATTCTTTACCTATTCCTTTTTGTAGCAATAACTGTTGCCTCCTTCATTATTAGCGAGCCAGTTGCGATTCGTATGTGAATGCTCATATGACACACATATATTGAAGCTGCTTGAATACCTTCGCTGTTAAAATTTACTTCAATGCAATGTAATGATTTTCACGACAGATTTTTCGAATTGCCCACCTTCAGTGCATTGGACCTTGCGACACTGAATGTGCTCTTTAATATAGTAACAAAATAGCACCCGCGTAAAATGTATTCAGACCTTTTTCTCAATTCAGCAGTTTTGTTGTTGGTATTTTCCGAATATTTCAAATAAATGCTCTTTGATGCTTTTAAACGACAGTTATGCAGTATCGGCGGTTGCAAAACTATATCAGGCTTGCATCACAATGAAAATTATATCACACAGAAACAAAAAAGTTCTAACGCAGCTTCGCTCTAGCACTGCCAAGTACAAAGGCAGTGCGAAGCTTGGCAGCCTTGTTTGTTTTTTTTTCTTTTCTGTTTCTTTCCCTGACTCTTTCTTATTTTCTTCTCTATTTTCGCACCCCGCCGCGGTGCTCTAGAGGCCAAGGCGCGCAGCTGCTATCACGCCGGTCGCGGAATCAAATCCCGCCTGCGGCGGCAGTATTTTAAATGGAGGCAAAAACGTTTGATGCCCGTGTGCCTAGATATAGGTGCACGTTAAAGAACGTGCGAAATCAGCGCGTTGATAAAACATGTATAAACATCCAGAACGAAATCAACAGAGGATCAGCTGCCACCATAGTGCTTCATAAAGAACGCGACAAAATACCAATAAAGAAGGGTGTAAGACAAAGGGATACTTTCTGGCCAATGGTATTTACCACGTCTTCACAGGAGGTTTGAAAAGGCATGGAGTGGGAAGAGTGAGGTATGAGACTCGATGGAGAGTAACTTGCGCTTCGCCGATGAAATGCATTTCTGAGTGATTCGGGGGACGAATTTCGAATAATGATTTCGGGGTTAGACAAGGTTTTGACAGTTAGAAAAGGAGTTTATAAGAGAATGCAAGTTCTTCTCATTACCTGTATCTGTCCCTTTTTTGTCTTGGTTGTTGACAAAACTTGCATCAAAGTGTCGTTTTTCATGACATTTACAAGTAAGCATTGTACACGTGTTTATGCGAATGTATTTACGTCGTTATTGAGTGTGAAGGCACAGACCCAAGTGCACCTAAATGGTGGCGTCTTTGTGAAAAAAATACCAAAAAAAGGCATGAACTCTCACTATTTTCAACTCACTGAAATACAAGCAATACTTTAACAAACGCCATTAGCAAATGTCTTACTTACACAAATTTCGCAGCGAGGTTTCTCACCTTGTTGAGAAAGGAGTCGGCGCTGTCGTACGTAAACAACAAAAAGTCTGACTTGGCATACGCAAACAAAGAATTGAAGGTGCTGTCGTAGCTGAATGTTTCGTTGTAGTTCGGGTCTTCACAAGCCTGTGAGGTGAGAACAATTTAATGCACATAGAAAGGGGAATAAAGTGGTATGAAGTGTGAGTGAGTGAGAATTTATTAGAAGGCAGAGAGGTCGTATGGTGTTATGAAGTGATCGGGTAACTAGTAATGACTATGCTATTTCTAAGACTACGCGATTTCCACAAACTGCGCACGCTGGAGCAACTAAACATTATCCTCAATCGTTATTACGGGCAATGAAAAATAAACCCGGTCCCAATAATGGAGGAAGAGAGCACTGACAAGTAAATTGGGGATAAGGTACACCGTGAATGTTCATCGAGCAATCATTTCGTTTGGGGAGCAGTCTACACTAAATAGTGAGTGGCCCTCTTCGAAACGAAGGCGTGGAAGGAAATAGACAAAAAATGGGTTTCTCTTGGTAAATACTTAATCCCAAAATAAACTCAAATTCTCATCCCTGGCTATTCTCTAAGGGACATTTTTTTTCAAAGCAAATAGTTACAATATTCACAGTTTATTAGAAACGATTAGGAAGCCGCGTCTCTGACCTGGCTTCCTGTGCTTTATCATTTGGCGCCATTTCATGGTAGTATAAACACCAGCCCGCCTCATTCATGCATACTAGTAGAGGGTTCCTCTTCCTGACTTGGTCACAAATAATCAAGTGAGTCTTGGCGATGATTACTTGGCGTCTTTATTTATTCTGACACAAAATAGAAACGTGGCTAATTGGGTATAATCAGAATACAAATGTGAACAGGCAAAAGGTCCTCGCAGAAATATTCTGTTAAGTTGGCTAACCAGCGAAGCTGTATCGTGAGCCCTACATTTTGTTACGGCCTATATCTATTGAAGTGTCGTCTGGTTTAGTGTGCAGTTTACCTACCACCACATTTATTGGGATGCATGTTTTACTTTACGTTAATTGCAATTATGGGTAGGATATTGGAAACACCTACAAAATATTACAGGTAGGAAGTGATGATTCTATTAGCATTATCGCTGGGTGTGCGTTGTGAGAAATTCTGGAAACCTGTAGTGCAGGCGCTAACATGCCTCATGCAAGCATAGCTTCTTAACTGTAATGTTTGCGCATTCACACACCACCACGTTTCCACTCTCCAAGTCGTACTGAGTCTTCGCTCTAAAGTAAAGTTTGTCGTCTGTACATAAACTCTATTTCAAGAAACGTAGCTAACCTATTAGAAAGAAATGCATATCATATAGTCTTAAGCAAAGACAGCCTTCAGTTTATGTAAGTCAAGCCAGACGAAGGAGGAGAATGCAACAAACATAAACACACAGCATTGGTCCTGTCGGTTCACATGACTTGCACCCTCGTCCCTCGTGTTGCTTTAATTTGCTAACAGTGCGTCGGCGTCGGATCTCTCAAGCTGTTATTTTGACATGTTCTTTTCTCTATATATTGTAACCTTCGCTGATATTTACGCACCACAAAGTATAAAACCACACTTTGCAAAAAGGGCAGCCTGTGTACTTGAAGCAGGCTTCCAGTTCGTAATCCTTATTTCTAAGGCTGTATTTCTTCTTTTTTCGGTATTCGCTGCACTAAATATCATTAGGCTTAAGCAGCAAAGAGGATGCATCGTTAGCATTGTGTAATGGCGCGAAAATAAGCAGCCGCACAGCAAAGTTAGACGACACAACATCTGCGTCTCTTTACATTGTATAGTATAGCCTCGCTGTGTTGTCACGCTTGCTTGAGTTTCTATGCCCTGTGCGATGTTCCACAGTGCATTCATATCAACTACCTCAACTTTCCTGAATATGCTGCAAAATTTCTTCAAATATAAAAGCTTACGCAATTGGCACAAAAAGCGAAAATGAGACCTTGTTTCTGTCGAAATGAAATTAACCCGCACGCACCGACAAACGTGCACTAAAAGAAGCAACGAGAACCATGCATGTATGGCGATTTTAATCTTTTATGATCGGCAACATTTTAATGCGTTGACTGCTGTCGGCAGTAATGTGGTAGCTGAATTTCAGCAATCACTGCGTCAGATTATCCTATACAAATACTGCTTCAAATAAAGTTAGCGCCATCTGAACTTATAAAAATAATTCATTTTAAAGCTTTAAGCTTTAAGGACTAATACTGCTGTGATCAGCACAAGCACAACAGATATAATATTTTATCTTACACAGTTAAAAGTTTTTCTTCTAATGTCACTTTCAATGAGACTATTTACCTCCCGAAAACTGGACGCAGAAGTGTGCAATACACTGATATATTTCGCGATAATAAGCACGTTCATTTTGACCTCGCAGCAAGATCTCCTAATACCGAACTGTAACTGAGTGGTTCATCATAAGCACATACATGAAACACACTTGCCACCATCCCCTGAATAGCTCCTGTACGGCTCCCTAACCATTCTAATATAAAATACGGCAGTGCCTTCGTACATGTGAATCAACGTTATGCGAAGTATGTGAAGGGAAGGTGACCTTAATGGGTCGGTTGGCTCTCTTTCATTTCCCCTTAATGGGTCGGTCGGCTCTCTTTCAACTTCGTGGACGAAGATGAAAGAGAGCCGACCGACTCATTAAGGGGAAACCCTTTCCTTATGCACGCCGTCCCGGACCCCTCCCGCCACCGCGGCGACAGTCTTGGGTGGCCCGACACACGCCGAGAACTGACCAGCACGGGATAGGAACAGGATGTGGACGTATACGGACATTTGGTTTTGTTCTCAGTGTTGAGAGTGGTTCTTCCTCTTTTTCACTTTCTTTTTTATTTCTTCTTTTTCTTTTTTCCCCTTTTATTCTTTTCGTCTTTTTTTCTTTTTTCTTTCTTTCTTTCTATTTTAGTTCTCTTTCACTCTCGCAAACATCTTCCAAGGCAAGAGGGACGCGGCAGCAACGAAGTTTGGAAGTTCGTATTAGTATAACTCATCCCCTGATGAAGAGAGGACCCGTCCCACAACTGTTGGGAAATAAATATATCCTTGTTGACAACGCTCCCGTTGTGCCATATCCCATATATATATATATATATATATATATATATATATATATATATATATATATATATATATATATATATATATATATATATATATATATATATAGTCTAGTAGATCCTCCGTGAGCGGTCACAACGTGGTTTATTTCGACGTTTCGGCCTAGAGTCTGGCCTTCATCATATATATATATATATATATATATATATACGGTACAAAAAGAGGTCGTCAAACATACAAAAACGCAAGTTTTACTAACGTATCGGCAGGTGGACCTGCCTACGTCTGGTTCACTCTGACGAAGGTATGCCCACCTGCCGAAACGTTAGTAAAACTTGTGTTTTCGCATGTTTGCCAACCTCTTTTTCTACCGCATTTTCCACCGGATCCATTAAATTTTACAGCACCACATATATATATATATATATATATATATATATATATATATATATATATATATATATATATATATATATATATATATATATATATACGACGAAGACCGGAACTAGCACTCTGCCACAGACGCTAATGCTAGGCGAGCGAGGAAGAAGCAGAATAAGAACAGCTGGCCCAGGATCGGGTGTTGTCTCTCGTTCTCTGTCTCGCTCATTACAATGGCACAGTCGACTAAGAAGAAGTCTTACGTTCTGGCTTCGTCATCCAGGACAGCCGCAATAAGCGCCGCTTGAGGACAACGTCAAAGCGTCCTCGGCAGCTGTTTACCTGCCGCCACTGCCACCATCGTTCATGGACAGCGTAAAGGCCTCCTCGGCGGCTGCAGTACACGTTACGAGTACCATTTCACAAGGACAACATCCACGCGTCCTTGGCTATGGATTCTGCTATCAGCGCAAGCCGACAAGTGAACCCTGTGCGGTAAGCCACCGGTGTCGCGGACGCCAGATTAATTGTCACACCGGTCCCATTAATTCGGGAGGCGATCGCCGGGCTAATTCCAAGGGCCGAAGTATTGGCCCTCCGAACCGCACCACGAAAACGTGGACAATTTAGAAGTGGTCCTTTTTTGCGCGCCAGCGGACGCCGGCTGTGGCCCAAAGAACAAGTCAGAGCCGAGAGTTGATAAACAAAACAAATACTATATTCTCAAAAACGGCAGATCGAAAACAATACACAAGAATGTACACTCCACAATAGTTACATACAATACGTCACCAAACAAACAACGTACTACACAGTACAATCAACCACACTTGAAACAACGGACACAGACAACAATACGCACTACAATGCAGTCGCATGCATTGAACAACCAAGACACTTAAAGACTAAAGAGATATAAAACCTATTCAGTCCAAAGTCCTTGGAACAAAAGTCTGAATGATACTCTTCCGAAAATCACTCACTCAAAGTCCAGCGTTGTTGTCGTTCCGCGCCCTCGAAGTTTCTCTTCCAGGAAACCTCGCCCCTTCAATTGGCCACTCTCCAAGCTTCAAACTTCTTCGCCCGAACACGTCGGCTTCACACACGCAGCTGTCGCCACGCGTCTTCGCTCGATAGCGGTAAACACACTCTCTTGCCTGTAGCTCGGGCCTTCACCCCTCAGGTGGAAATCCTCTTCATCTCCTGCTTCGTCCCTACCGACAAACCTTCGCCGACTACACGGCGGGATCCCTTCGCACTCTGGCGCAACTTCCGTCTTCTCCTGATCTCTCATCTCGGCTGCTCGGTTAAATACCTTGCGCGCGACATTCCAGACGGTTCTCGTCATTTCGTCGGCGCGATACGCAGCGAAGGCTGGGAAGAGGGCAAGACGGTTGGCACGCCCTCCGCGGCCGATGACTCAACTCGGTATGACCACGCCCCTTTCGTTCTAGAACTTTCGCGGCCTATCTCGGCCGCCGATGTGGGGCGAGGAGGTTCGTCGGCGAAGCCACGCTTCCGAGGGGAGAGCGCGCGCCCCGGGGAGCCTTTAGATGTTTGTTTTCTTTTTTTCTTTTGACCTCGCGGCGCCACTTTGGCGTTTCGTCGCGACAATTTGGCGGTGCGCCCATTTTTAGCGCTCGTTCTGTGACAACCGGTACGTGTCTTCGTGGTTCGTCGGCAGTGCGGGCTTCTCCATCGAGGAACGCCGTTCACGCTTCCTTGGAAATGGGGTCGCACCAGCCGCTTAAGCTACCCTTCAAACCACCAGTGGACGGCGCCCAGGCCTCCCCTGGGGTTGTAGGGCATGACCTTATTGACACCCTGCCACCGTTTCGCCGCAGGGGTCCGCACCGGCTCCTGTCCTTTGGGAATGCCGCTCACGCTTCCTAAGGCCTACATTCCCGTCGCCGCACTCTTTCAAAATACGAGCTGAGCTGCCAGAGTACGCCGTCCAGGCTCTCTGCTCGTCAACCTCACCGGCGTGAGTGCTGCAACCGCTACTCATTCGAAGAGCGCGATCACCAACGCTTCGGACTTCACTTCACTTCGAGCGAGCTCCTACAATGTTGCCAGAATTGCGTGCCACTAACGCCGTGTTGCATGTAGCTGCCTCGCACGACCTTGAGGCAAGCCCATTGGAGCAACGCAGGCAGCTTTGGGGCACCCTCCTGCAGCTCTCAGACCAGCTCGACGGCGTTCCCTTAGTGGTATCCGCATTCTCACGTGCCGCCCCACCATCGCCGTCCTCCTTCGAACTGCCGGATTTCGACGGGGTCCGGAACGACGCCGACAGCTGGGTGGCAACCGTCAACGCGCTAGCAATGCGTGCGGCCTAAACAGAGAATCAGAAATGGTATGTGGCCATAGACCGTCTTCGGGAAGGTGCAGCAGGCGTGGCACCGGTATGAAGGTTGGAAGCAGCAGTCATGGACGGAGTGGAGCGTCAAGCTCATAGCTGTTTTTGGTCCGATTCCCTGTGCCACCTGCCCATGTAACTCGACCTTCTCTCAGGACGGAACTCGGGAAAAGCCCTGACCTAGAGGATGCGATTCGAGCCCCTACCATCCTGTCATCTCTCGGTGACCAAGATGTAGGGAACAATCACGATCGTGTAACTCTGCCTTGCACAGGCATTTCTGCTGTCGTATTTAGAGCTCCTGAGGAGCACCGGCCCGGTGGTGCAGCTATGTCCGAGGGGTCCCTGATGGCAAGCTTTGCGCAACGCTCTGCAAGAGGCCCCAACGCAGGTCGTCCGGTCGACTTAAAGGCACCGGCCTCCATCTTACTGGACATTCTACCACCTAAGGAGACAGGTCTATCCGCTGAGTCTAATAACATCCCATCTGACCAGACGGAAGAGGATATGCGTGCGACGCATGCACTGCCTGAATCGGTAGAGTCTCCGATTTTCGGAACTACCTTCCGTCGAGGATCTTCCACCAGTACGCAGCGTGGCTTCGAAAATTGCTGACTTTACAGCGTCCGGGAGCCCCATAGCGACAACGCTGCGCAAGTCATGGACTACGGAAGTCACGGCACAGGAGCCATGCCACAGGTCAGCACGAGGACTTCGCCCCTAGTTCATGCAGATGTCAAAAAAAGAAAAGGTTGACCAAAGGAAAACCGGAGTCGAACTACTTTCTCTGAAACGTCGCAGCATTGCCGATGCTGTACCTACCACGCGACAGTAAATGTCGTCCCGCGGAATCATCATCAACAAAGGGACCAACCAGGACTCAGTCCCCACCATGACATGGCCAACGCCCAGGGCGACATAGCCAGTGTCGGCCGCCGGAACCAATTTCGACCAACTTCAAGCGTGGTCGGGGCCAACCACGACGATGCAGCCAAACCCGCCCACCTGAAGCAACGTCAACTGCTGCAGCTAGCCTCACCCACATGAACATTGTCGTGTGGCCCATCGACAATGCTTGCAGTCATGGCCGAGTGTGACGACGAAGACCGAAACTGGCCCTCTGGCACAGACGCGTATGCTAAGCGAGCGAGGAAGAAGCAGAATGAGAACAGCTGGCCCAGGATCGGGTGTTGTCCCTTGTTCTCTGTCTCGCTCATTACTATATATATATATATATATATATATATATATATATATATATATATATATATATATATATATATATATATATGAGATATAACAGACAGTAATGCCAAGGAATGTACAGGGGAAGTTATTAAAACCAATGGAATGTAAATAAGAAGAAAGAAAAGTGGATGAAAAAATTACCAACTGTGAGCAGGAATCGAACCTACGACCTTCGAATATATATATATATATATATATATATATATATATATATATATATATATATATATATATATATATATTTATATATACTAGAAACTTTTTCCAATAGGCCAAACGTACTTGGGAAGAGATGAGACGTAACTTAGCGGTTGTCTTGCATTTATTTCCAAAGGTTTCAACCAGTGTACCGGTCTTCATCATGTTTTGTGACTAACACAAACCCTGGTGAAGGACGGTTCACCGTTCATCGTTCGAAACCATTGGAAATAACATTAAGACAACCATAAACTCTCTCTCTCTCTCTCTCTCTTTATATATAGAGATATACGAAGGTTTTTTTTTCACATTTGGGTCAAACAACTTCCCCTATACATTCCTTGGCATTATTGTCTGTCAGATCTAATCATTATTGTGCCAAAACACGGAAAACGAGCCGTTAAGTATACACTTCTCTACTTTATTCATTAACGAGGATTCTGTATTGGCAGACTTGGTGCCGTTAGGTTGTATACGAGGGACTATCGGTCAGCTGCCAGCTCGTAATAAGTTCGCGTGCTACGTTACGTCAAACAGGCTCAGAAAAAGTGGGCCACACTCGCCTCCATGGCTACGGGTGGTGCTGACTGACACTCCCAGTTTAAATTCACATATAAACCCAATAGAGTGGCTGGGGTGATACCCGCCGTGGTAGCTTAGTGGTAGACCATCAAACGCGTTATTCAAAGATCGCAGGTTTGGTTCCTACTCGCAGCAAGTTATCTTTTCACCCACTTTTCTTTGTTCACATTTACATTATCATTGGTCTAATACCTTCCCCTGTACATTCCTTGGCATTATTGTCTTTTAGATCTCGTTAATATTGTGTAAAAAGAAGAAAAACGAGCCCTTAGGTTATACACTTCTTCCCCTTTTGCGTTAACGAGGGTCTCGTACTGGCAGACTTGGTGTCATTAGGTTGTACACGAGGGATTATTGGTCAGCTGCCCGCTCGTAATAAGTTCACGTGCTACGTGACGCCACACATGCGCATAAAAGGGTGTTTCACACTTGCCGCTTGGCCTATAGATTGCGCTAATTGACACTCTTACTTCTAAATTCGCATATAAACCCCAAAAAAGTGGATGGATGGAAGGCCGCTGTGATAGCTCAGTGGTTAAAGCATCGAACGCGTTATTCGAAGGTCGTAGGTTTGATTCCTGCTCACGGCTAGTTATTTTTTCACCCTTTTTCTTTCTTCTTATTTAAATTCCAATTGTTCCTATAACTTTGCCTATACAATCCTTGGCATCACTGTCTGTTAGATCTCATTGATATTGTGTAAAAACACGGAAGAACGAGCCCTTAGGTATACACTTCTTTCTCTTATATATATATATATATATATATATATATATATATATATATATATATATATATATATATATATATATATATATATATATATATAAGAGAAAAATGTTTATACCTACAGACTCGCTTTTCCGCGTTTTTACATAATATTAATAAGATCTAGCAGGCAATGAAGACAAGAATTTTATAGGGGAAGTTAATAGAACCAATGTAATGTAAATAAGAAGAAAGAAAAGTGGGTGAAAAAATAACTTGCCGTGACAACAACTTATTATTTACGGCAAGTCACGGCAATTTATTTTTCACCCGCTTTTCTTTCTTATTTACAATACATTGGTTCTAATAACTTATAGCTTCCCCTATACATTCCTTGGCATTATTGTCTGCTAGATCGCATCATATATATATATATATATATATATATATAATTATATATATATATATATATGTATATGTATATGTATATGTATATATATGTGGCTTATGTGCAGAACAATAATTTCGGTTGCCGCAAGGTTATCAGTATAAAAGTTAATGCGCTTTCACATAACAACTTGTTTATTCAGCCGAAGTTTCGACGAGAACCCCGTATTTCTCAAGGATTATGCCTTGAAAAGACGAGGTTTCCGTCGAAACATCGGCTGAACAAACAAGTTATGTGAAAGTGCATCTACTTTTATACTATATATATATATATATATATATATATATATATATATATATATATATATATATATATATATATATATATCAGCAGGTGTTTTTTTTTGTTTACACTTGAAATATTCTGCATCACATAAGGCTAGACTTTTTACTCCCTTCGGAAGCGCCACTGAAGTAAAACTTCTTGGCGTGTATGTAAACATTAGTTTGTTGAAGCAATGATAACGTACGTGATATCCTGGTATTACCACAAGAAAAATATATCTATGAAAGAAATCAGGTGTGTTTTCTTCGAATAAAAGGGAAAAAAGTGTTGTCTTACTTCGGCGATGCTCGAAATCTGGTGTCGCGGTGGAGCATCTCCCCGCGACGTTGTCTTGCAGGGATGGCCGAGAGAGACATTGCCAGGAAGGCTTACATTCCTATTCAGGTACGCGGGTTCATACCAGCGGCCACCCATACCGAGTGACACAGCGAGGGCAGGTGTATTCTTCAACACTTTCTTCAGAGTCGCAAGGGCTGATACCACTCTGACCTGAGGTGAAAAAGAGGCGTCGTATAATTTAGCATTAAGTTACCAGGCTTGAGGCAGCTCTTTTGCAGGTTTCGTACTTTCAATGAACAACCAAAGTGGCAAAACCTACTGCCACTGCTCATAAACCTTCTTGATGGGGCCCCGTCGCGGTGGTATAGTTGCTAAAGTACTCGGCTGCTGACCCGCAGGTCACGGTATATAATCCCGCCTGCGGCGGCTGCAGTTCCGATGGAGGCGAAAATATTGTATGCCCTTCTGTTCAGATTTTGGTTGATGTTAGGAACCCCAGGTGGTCGAAATTTCTGGAGCCCTTCACTACGGCGTCTCTCATAATCATGTGGTTCTTTTGGTATGCTAAACCCCACATATCAATCAATCAATCAATCAACCTCCTTGACGGGCAAGCCTTCGCTACGGCGTCTCTCATAATCATGTGGTTCTTTTGGTATGCTAAACCCCACATATCAATCAATCAATAAATCAACCTCCATGACGGGCAAGCCTGTGAAGGCATGGAAATCTTGTCAATAGAAGGTGCTGGTAGTCACCGATTTAAAAGTAAGGCAACATTTGTGTCCACCACATTTTCGAGTAAGCGATAATTGGACCAGTCTTGAGAACCCACTGGAAATGTTGGGTTTCCAGGGCTGGCGCGTTTGTCAGACCGATTTGTCACTATTCGGGGCTGTACAGAACACCATCAGACATACGCCTCGAAATTTTATTTTCGTGGTTTGAACAAAGCTAGGTCTTTGAGTTATGTTCGAATGTGTTAATTGCGAAAAAAAATCACCTTTTTTGAACCGCTACTGAGCACCACGCACGCTTAGACTACCAAAGGTCGTTATTGTGAGGCATAACAAAAATGTGTGATTATGGAATGCTGCTGATTTACTCAATCAGTGAGACAAGAGAAGCCTAAAGCCACTTTCTGTGTTGTGTTATTGGTGTTTACAGAAGACACCTCAAAGATAAATCAAACATCATAAATACACTCACCACTCGAATGACCGCAAATATCGCACTAGTGGTGGCGATACTTGTCATGAGATGAGTGGCTAGACAATTTCTGTCACTGTTTCATGTCCACTTTAGTTATAATTTGTAAACGCCAATGAGGAAATGAAGCAAGCTAGCATATGGTTACTCTAGTTGTATGGTTCACTGTATTCACCAGCCCGACTATGAGACAAGTGGCATCTATTTTCATTCACAAAACTTTCCCAATCACTTCAGATTTATTCATTTCATAAGGCAGTTCCTGTACTTGGTAGGAATGCCTTTTTTGAAGCTGATAGCTTTACCTTCACTTTACGTGTGACCGGGCTTCATGCGACTGTGCATCAATGTTGTAAAACATGTTAAGTGTCCCTCAGTTGAGCAATAGCCATAGAGTCCGCAATGACGCACCGCAACGAAAAATTCATTACTTGACAATATTCTGAACGCATTCGCATAGCACACTAGTGGATAAGCTTACCAAACGAACAGGGTATGCGCCATTCAAGAGACCAGGTTCAAGTAGCTGAGTAGAATGAAGGATTGGCGGTACCATTCGACAGTCCTTCCGCCCGTAGTCACTATAGGCCGTGTATCCAAATGCGACAAACAGGTCTACGGAATTAGCCCTGCAATATCGAAGGTAAACACTATGAGCCACTCACGTTGAGCCAACTAATGACAGGGGACATATGCTTCCTGAGTTTGACCTTCGAAAATTCAGACATGTTCAGAGGTCTCTTGAACATGTTAGCATAGCAGCTAGGTCAGTCGAGTCTAAAGTCAACCTTCAACGGGGTCACTAGCTATCGCTGCATTTAAGAAGAACGACGACTGCATGTAATACGCATGAATAAAGAGACACCCTACTGAGAGTGCAGGCGCTGCGCGTTTCTCTCTTCCAAATTATCTGTGCAGCCTTTCTATTTGAACACGCGTATACTGATTGCCCTTCGGTCAGAGACTACGATGCCACACCGCTACACAGCTACCATCTACGCCCCTTTTGTGCATCACCGGTTTGGTACAAACATTAAACACTACTTTTGGTGTCAAACAATGGGTCCATTCGATACAAATGCAGAGTTTTCACGCCATGCCCCATCCCACTCTGTGAAAATATCGGCAATGCACTTTAGCCGTGAGTATAGCCGCTGGGACGTTCCATCCTGAAAAATCGCAGCACTGGTATTTTCGACGCTGAAGGTAAGAATGGATGCAACGTTGTGCAGTGTGGAGAGGTGAAGGTTTGTGAAATGCTTAAGAGTTTTGTCCCCAGGCACGTAATATTTATAAATCTGAATGAACATATTTATTATCAAGTGACCGCCAACTTACTATGAGGTTCCCATAACAAACATGCAGTGAAGTTAGAATGTCATCATTCATAGAGGCGAGTAAACGACTAGCTATTGTGAAGTTTCAAGTAGAAAAAAAGGCACCGATGCTTTTTTTCGTGGTATAGTTTGAGAGAAGGCCTCTGAACGATCTTACATTTGCAATGCCTCTCCCATAATATTGCCACACACGACCATTTTCATGTTTTATGTGGCCAGTGTAATACCCGTGTTGATACTGCCTGTGCGATATGCGCCAAAATATCTGACTGCATTCTCGATAGCTTTCGATTATTCAGTTCGGCTTGAGCGTGGAAATAGGAACAGATGAGTATACAGTGAAAGAAGCGCTGCCATATGCTCGACAATTCGTGTATTAACTCTGCCGCGAATATTATTATCTACGGCTGGCGCTTTATTCGCCAATATTAGTGTACAGCGTGCATTTTTCGCAGTAACTCCCGAGATTGTTTCAAGCCTTCGATTGCAGTCAAATGAAATTAGCTCGGTTATGCTAAGATATACGTAGTGTCAGGTAGCACAGACGAATGGGCATATAAACAAAGGGACATACTCAAAAAAAATCGAGTGCTTTAAGAGTGCTTCCGCAGCATTCCTACAATAATCGACTTTTGACTTCCTCGCCCTTCCTTTCCTGAAAATCTAGCGCTGGTTCAAAGCCACCTAGAAAATCTTTTCAGGCCTGCTCACTGCAGCCATCACGTCACTTCTTTTGACCAAGCAATCGCGCACATGAGAGGCTGTAAACTTATTGCCACCATTGTCTCCCGTTGCGACAAAAAGGTTTCACGGGGAGTTTCACAAGCTTAAAGGCTAAATTCTGCCTTTTCCACAAAAAAGCAGCTTATTTGGGTAGTGTATCACGCTTGAAAGCATGTAAAATTTATCCTCTGAGCCATTTCTTTCACGAAGAAGTCAGAAAGATTGTGCGTTATCGAACACGTAGCCGATCTATAAGAGCAAAAGTTGATGGCGCCAGAAAGTCACGAAATAAGGTAAATTTTATTCATTCTGTCTTTGTTCGCACACACACATACACGCACGCATAAGCGCAAACACTCACAATGCAGAGAATACATAGAAATTTTTTCTACTCATTTGCAAAGTTTCTGCAGTTTTATTTGTACTCTTTCGAACGTTTGTCCTCGTAGACACGCAGTTCTTGGGCAGAGTGTGTCTATGCCACTAGCACATTATTAGAGTACAATATCACGGTGATGGTGACTGCAAGAGAAAACAAATTTCTTTGTTTGAAAAAATTCTTTTGGGACTGACACAAGGAGTGGTGTTTGCTCTTTTGCTCTGACCTCTATAGCACTGTTCTATAGTCGCTCATATACATTAGGGCGTGGGAAAAGTGCTAATACTGTGTCTAGATTGAACCGTGTAGCCCCCGCACGTGCTTTTACTGCACTGCTGTTTCTTGGATCGGTATTTTTTGGCAGTGGTTCTTAAATATTCTAGCTTGAAGTAGAGCTCACATACATGAAAATCATTTTGGAAAGTGCTTTATCGCTTGAGTAACTGCAGGCATCTAAATTTTGAGGTAACATATAAGACTAAGGTGCTGGTGATACTGGCACAAATTTCTATTGCTGCAATAAAATAGAAAACAGCAGTCATACACTTTTTCACAACCAAGTAAAGGAGGTAATACAATAAGTTTGCGGTGCTAATCACCATTAGTTAAATGTTTACCGACGTAGAAGGAAAAACGCCTGTTCTGAAAATATCCTGCCATGCCCGTTTATTATTTTACCAACAAGACTTCCGCTAACAAGTCAGAAGCGCACACAATCCTATTGCGGAACCCAGTGTCACGCGGTACCAGTGTCTTGTGCCATGACTGATTATAAGCTCAGAATCGCGCTAGACACTGGGACCCTGGAGCTCCATGTTAGTGGGAGGCATTATGTCTCTGAAAAACGGCTTCACAGGATTAAAACTTGGGTGTCTATTCGCCATAAACAAATACATATTAAGTAAACCAAGTGATACATAGAGCATTCAAATAAAGAAATAAATATCAACTATCCGAAAAAAACGTCAACCGAAAGGATTCAAACTCGCCATATTCTGATTTCCAGGCAAGTACTTTAAACGCTATACCACGCCAGAACACGCCGTTTGCCTTCATGCTTACACGTCGTTGTCAGGGCTGACGCGATATTCTTTGCAAATAGCAAATTCGTATTTATTTGACACTGAATAATGGCTTACGGGCACCGAATGACGTGCGGCTATTGGCAGGGTATATATATATGTATATATATATATTGGTAGCCATTTCTTGCTCTTGCTACTGGTCAACGGCTACAGATGTTTTTGTAATAACTTGTTCCGTAAATATGTGCGTACACGATTGAATACTGAGTAGTTTGCTCACGCAAGCGACAATATAGCAGTATACAGCCAGAGTGCCACAGTGTAGATTTACAGTTATATTGATACCCACAACCTAAAAACCGCCCAAGAAAAAAAAATATTACAAGCCCCTGAGAAAGTATGCCTGTGGGTTTGTTCACTAAGGCATATCAAGTCGCCAACTGAAGATTGCGCCTTGATACGAGTCGAAGAAGTACCGGCTATTGCGCGACGGGCAGCTTTTACTCTAAGCCAAAAAACGGCCGAAATGGGAGCAACGGCTGTTTTTACTCCTTCAGACCAACTGTTACTCTTCGAAAGGAACAAGCGTAATAAGATGGCCGACATGTTCGAAAACTGGGAAGCAACTGTATTAGTCTTAAGTTTGCAAGGGAGCAACGGAACAAGGAACCGCTGTAAATGCTCTCGCCACGCAACGGTTACTCCCCTGAAGGACACCACACACAAATATGCTTGCCGCCCACAATAATATTCATGGGCCAGATTATTTGTTGTTCTGTCTGCCAAATTTCACCAAACCAATACATTGATTTATTTTAGTATCCACAGCTAATAAAATAGCAGTGCTGGCGGAACACAGAAGGCCTGAGAATACAGCTACCGCAAGGGCCTAACACACACAGGAGCAGCATGGAGAGTTGGCACGTCAAAGCGGACCGAACACCGAAACACGTGAAAAACAACGATATAAAATAAAGCCTAGACACGCTGTTCGTCTGCTAAGGAAGGGCGTCAAAGCCAATCAAGCACCGAAACACGTGCAAATGCAAAGGGATCCCCCCCCTCCCCCGGATATATCGGAGATGGAAAAAAAAAAGAAAAAAAGAGGACCCAGATGGGCCTTATTCAGCCGTACACTTAGTAGCACGCTTCAACGTGTAGCTTGAGGGCAGAGTGACAAATCTGCGTCATCTGCGCCCGCACGACTTGTGTGGCGCTAGTATAGCAAGCGATGTGATTTACAAAGTGGATCATTAGACTGTGTTTATGTGTACTAGCACAAAATAAAAATTAAAATAATTTTTTATCAATAAATATGAGTTTTAGTGTACCTCGGTTTTTTTTTATAAGTGTATTAGGAGAATACACTGAAAGCTTTGCGCTGACGGCCTGTGCGGCTACTGCTCGACGTTTTTTTTTTTTTTTTCGGCGCAACTAGTTCACGTTCTCACTACTCATATTCATATGGTCTGTGGTTGGCGAGCACAAGGATATCCGCGCTTGTGTGCTATGTTTTGATCGTGCATGTGTGTCGCAGATTTGCGTTTCTACTTATTCGCGATGAAGGTTAGTGTATGTTTATCTTTAGAGAGCGCAATGTTGTGGATTTTGCTGCTGGGTGGAACAAGCACAACATAAACACGTCTTTAGCTATCTGCAAACCTGTTCGCTCGTCGGACAAAAGACTACGCATGCATCAGCTTGCAGGTGAGTGGCATTTCCAGCAACACTTATTGCTTTTACAGTGCGAGTACTTACAGTGTAACATTGGTTGGGGCATTTTCAATCCCAAATTTATGCTTGCTCACAGCTTGTGAAAAATTTTGAGTTCTCGAACAGCTGACTCATTGTTTTTTTTCTCCAAAGACATTGTTGAGAGGTTGCGCTATCAAAAGAGAAATTATTTGCTCTTGCTTATTCACCGTAACCATTGATCGCCGTATCGGACTAAATTATCTCTATTATTACCGCCTGCATACCCTCTTGCTGCGTCTGTCACCACTGCAGTGCCAGTGTACTTTTACTGTCAAAAGTTCCTTTCCGCAACAATACCTAGTTGGAAAAGCATTGGGGTGAGGTTGTAGCTGCCTTCGTACTGATACTTATCTATCACTGGCTTTATGTAACGTTAACGGCTGGGTGTTGGGGCCTCCGGCCATATTTTTTAGGGCTGTAGAGTGCATGCAGACCAGTACGTGAACAAATCATTTTCGCATCTTTTCACAGGCGTAGCCAAGTGGTGGCGCACGGAATTTTTTTTTTCCAGGCCGGGTATTGGGAGCCTGATATGACGACCATATTTGCTTGCCCGGCCTCCAATTCAGGAAAGCGGGCCCCCATACCTCCCCGCACGCCTCAAAAAAAAAAAAATCTACCTGCATCACTAAGCCACTCGCTTCACCTCTACGCTGAACGTATTATTCTATAAGCGCACCATCAAGCGAGCACTTTGCATGTGGACAGAACAATGGGAAGAGAAATGACCCAAACTTTTCGTATTTCTTTAGGGATACAAAACCTTCGCAAAACTTAATAATGTGAAAGACAATCATAAATGGTGTAGGTTCACAATAGCGTTGTCACTATTTTGCATCATGGAATCTTTATGCGCTGTGAAAACTTGGCAAGCCGTTAAAGTCACATTTTGACATCAATACCAGTCGACGAAAATTTCGACAACCTGTATAACGCCGTTTGGGATTTGCTGCATGCACATAATAAGGCTGGTTTCCACTCGGCTACTCTTAACCTGACTTCACTTCTTCCTAATAAAACTATATTTGATGCACGTCCTTTACTACTTTCTTTCAGGTGTATGGCACAAGTTTGGTTATACTGCAGGTATTGATGCCCCCAATGATGCTAAAGTACAGAAAGCGAGTGAATTTTGGTAAGTGCAGACTTTTGTACTACGTATATGAAAGCATTGCTTTTTAGGGGGCAATCAGTGCATGTGTTGGCAAGCGAATAGTGTATCATGCCACATGGTTACACTGGCACTGATAATTTGACATGGTTCCACTGGCCCGTGTGTGTTCTTACATTATTACCATTAAGGTAAAATGTTTCATTGCCCATTTTTATTGCAGGGATTGCTGTTTGTACTAGAAAGCCAACTGCCAATATTTGTTTACGCTGGCGCTACTAAAGGTACGTTTTCCCTATTTACATGGTTTCGGCTTGCACAAAGCATAACACTTGGACCTAGATCCACAAAGCCGTCCGTGTGCAGGCCTTCATAATATGGTTTCATGACTCGCCTTTACCCTGTTTTCTGTGCATGTTTCGTGGGTTTAAAAGTGCCACAGCATGTTGACCTCTCCCACTCTGATAAATTCTAGTTTAAAGTCCTGCAAAAGTGTGCTTAACTTTCTTGTGTACATCCTCGCTGTTCCAAGATCCTGAAGTGTTATGCTCTTACTAGAGGTGGCAGTGTTCGGAATGTTTGTATTTCCATCACGTTGACCAAGTATGCGATGTAGGCTTGAATGATAGCACATCCTCAACAAATATCTTTGTGGCACATGTAGAAGGCTGTACAAAATAAATAGGCAGACACTTACACCAGGCCCTAACTTCTAACGATACTTTTTTTTTTGGAAAGCATGGTGCGCTTATTCCAATTTGACCAACAAAGCCGTAACCTGTTCTGCTGTGAACCAACAAGACCTTGAAACTAATAAAAAGCTTCACATTGTTGCGCTCAGGTATATGTGTATGGACAAGCTATCAGTGACACTGTCAAACAAAGAATTCAGATATCTGTGCATGCCTTAAAATATATTGCTTTGTTCACAGATCTCGTGGCTGTGACTCGTCAACCGAGCAAACAAGTGTGCCCTAGTTTCTTCGGACGGTACGTGTTATTTGCCACACGCTTTACCTCGCTTAGAATGTCCATCGGTGAATGGACTAATAGAAATGTCACTCAGTTGTGTATAGGAAACAAGTTACATTAACCTAAGGGTAGCTTAAACTGCTACAATAATAATGGCTTCTTGAGTTGCTGCACATTTTCTTCCAGACTATTGCTAGCCGAGCATCATATGAAGAGCGTCTAGCACATCAGCAGTTATATGGCTTGCCCAGTAACGTTCTGCCAGACCTACTTTTTTTTTTCACATTTCGTTTCGCAGTAGACATCCTAGAATGTAAAGACTGCTGCAGTGTGTGTGACTTATTGTTAATTATTAATTCTGGCATGTTAAACACTACACTTCCATTTTTTCCTGCAGCAATGAGATGCTTCACATATGCCTGCGGTGACATTCCGATGCGCTAGCCTAATGGAAACACTAGTCCTGCGAAACTGGAGTCCTTCACGATTGGAGAAGTTGCCCTTCTCTCTTCAATGAGGATACATACTGCCCTACGCTAGAAATTCAAGACTGTTTTTCCATGGAAGATGCAGAAAACCTTTGATTTATTATGGTGCTTGGTTAGTGCTGGCTGTGGTGTGGCGAAGTCCACTTCTACAAATGCTCACACGTCGACTAAAAAATAAAAAACAATAAAGCATTTTTTCTTTCAATATTGTCCACATTACGTGTTAGAAGCACACGCGCAGTGCTCTTCCAAGGAGCTCTCATCATGTGTTGGGGGTGTGACAAGCATACTCGAGATAAATATTCATTTCCACAAAAAGTAACTGGAAGCATGTGCTGTGGGTCCTCAGAGAGTAACTGCGAACACGCGGGAAGAACGGTAAGACTAACCGTTGATCTTAGACGAGCAACTGGTGGGAGTAATGGTTGGTCTGCAGGGAGCAACTGGTGGGAGTAACTGTTGGTTCACAGGGAGCACCTGAAGGAAGTAACTGTTCATCCTCCGAAGAAGGAACTGAAAGGAGAGCAACGATTCGTCTCTCTGCAGTTACTCCTTTTAGGGGAATAAAGGGAGTGGCAATGCAATTGCTCCCTGAAAAGAGCAACCCCTATACCCCCGTTGCTCCTTTTTGGCTTAGAGTGAATTCGGTGAGAGCCTGCTTTACTGAAATCATGACCCATCGATGGTCACTACTTCTTGTATGGGCATCGTACACACAAAAAATGATTGATTTAGTTTCACGGATGTTTGGACTTTACTTTAGAGTCATTCTTATGCTTTAGAATTGTGCGTACTTGCAGCAAAAAGTGCGGGTAGCAATTACACCAACGCGGCAAGCACGATAGGCCGATAGGAACGGGGCACTGGGTAAGGCCGCTCTCGATGCAGTTGTGCTCGAAGTTTCTGGATTTCTAAATGCTTTCTAAAATGTACCTGAAGTAAGTAGAAGAACAATTATTGCCAGACACGGATTTCCGGGGTCGGGATATCGAGATACAGCTGTTTTAGGAACGAAGCTCCTTATGCTGTGGGTGTGTCCACGTTGTATATAGGAATAGTAGCAGTAGTAGCAGCAGCAGTAGTAGTAGCAGTAGTAGTAGCAGTAGTATTAGCAGTAGGCAGCCACATCTCGTTTAGTCTTTGGTATGTCTGCTGGATGGTGGTACTTTTATATGATGAATATATAATGAATAGATGCGAGAGCGCGGTACTTAGAGTGTTCCCTACTAGATGAAAGGACGGATGGACAGACGTACAGTGAGACAGACGGGCGAATAGAGAGACAGACAGACAGACATACAGACAGACAAACAGACAGACAGACAGAGAGCTGGACAGACGGACGAACGCATGCACGGACGAACGGTTGTGCTGGCTGTCTGAATGACGGATGCACGGACGGACAAATAGACCAACAACTAGGTGTACAGATGGACGTACGGACAGACCGATAGACAGACAGACGCACAAACGGACGGACAGAGAGACGCCCGGACGGACGGAGTGACTGACGGACGCACGGGTGGACGAACGCACGAATGGACGGAAGCAAGGACGAATGGACAGACCGGCTGATGCACGCTTCGCCCCACTCATCATCATTAGTTCCGTGGAAATGCTGTGATTTTTTTCTGGCCTCCACTAGCAGTATACAGCGGGCGTGCCAGTGCACTGGTTTGCAGTTATATCGATACAACAAAAAAAACATGCTTTTTGCGTGGTTTTGCGAGGTTTTAATGGTAATGCAATTCACTGAAAATGTATGCCAGAGGGTCAGTTCACGAAGGCGTAAAAAACTAACAACTGAAAATTGCGTGTTCCTAAATACGACTGATATAAGTACCGGCTAGTACAGCCAGCCGCTTTCGGTGACAGCCTGCGTAGATGAAATCGCGACGTATCGATCGTCAGCGCTTCATGTGTGGGCTCCGAACACAATGAAAAATAGTTACCTTATGTTGACGTATGCCTAAATATGCTTTACAGGTTTTCTCACACGTTAAAATTGTGTGTACCCGAAGCAATAAGCGCCGGTAACATGCACATCGACGGGGCTGGCACGATTGCTGGGCCGTGCACTGGGTAGGACTGCTCTCAACGTTTGTAAGTTTGGATGGTTGGAGTTTATGAATTTAGCTTTGGAACATTTCTAAGCGTTACCTAAAGTGCACCTAAAGTCCAACTGTTGCCACAGGAAACAGCTGTTCGGTACGCCGTTACATTGAGCTTGTCTGCAGCCTGTCTGAATTCAAACATGAAATAAAGACAAGTGACTCGCCATTAATTTGTAGTGTATTCTATACAGTTATGACAGTTCTCTGAACAAACAGCTTCAATATCCTAAAACGTCATCTCACTTTACAGGTCGTTATTATTCAAAGCGTTGGTAAAGATAGCTGACCCAAGAAATCGGTGCTTATAGTTTAGACAAAATAAAAAAACTGAAGGGTAGTAGATCGCGTATACCCAAAGCATAGCTTGCTTTCTAGCCGGTTTTTTAGCAATCATCAACTATACTGCCCAATGGACAGGGCAAAGACTTTCTGTGGAATAGACCAAAAAACTCCTAACCTAATAGCAGTTTTACGCGCTCTGAATGTCCATAGCTTGGCCATTTCTTGAAACCTGTGTCGCCAGAACTTCAATATATATGGTCGTTTCTAATTCATAGAGACCACCCTTCTTTTGTGACTGGCCGAAACCGTGCATGTTCACAGGTGAAGTATTCGTTCTTACGCTAAGGCCCTGGCGACATCCACGGCATCTGTTTCGTACATCAGGGGGTAGTGCAGCATGGTGTAGCTGGGCTGATGCTCCGAGTTCACCTTATCCTTCATTAGTTGAGAAAGCATCTGCGAAGTAAGAAATGAGCGTAGGAATGATTATATCAAGTCACGTTAAAAATAGAAAGATAATTCTGGGTTATGTGGGTATGAATGTAAATGTTTCCTTCCAAGAGTTAGCGAGGCCAGATGACATTCGCCACTGCATAGGCACCAAACCTATTGATCGTTGTTAAAAAAAGTAAAAAAGTCCACTGTGTTGAATTTATGAATTTAACAACAGCTGCATGTCCGTGCAATAGTATAGAGCAGGCACACGGATGGCACTCGCGCACTCGTGTGGCCACAGGATTGATAGTAACACGTACCAGTTCAGTCTTCTCGAACAGTAATTATATAACTGGCTTGTAGCTCGTATTTCAAATATCACTCATTTACCCAGCCTCGACATTCTAACAAATTATTGGCTCTCCTGTGATGGAAAGCAAGTACAAGCATGAAATGGCTGCTGGTACAGTAGAATACTTATACACGATACTAGCATTTATATATGGTATGGGACATAATATTTAGGAGACCGACGGCACGCAATAAAACATCCTCAAGCGCGCACCATTTCTCCAAAGTGCAGCTCTTAAGGTCAGCAAGAAAACAGCAATTAGGTGAGTGATTAGCGCCTTACCGCATGTAACGTACACAATCAGTATTCTAGGCATGATTAATATATTTGCAGCAGAAGTTCAGATGGTCAATCACGACGACCTATCTTCATCATTTCTTCGAATTTATGAAATATACGAGCATTCATGACAACTAATAATATGATTTGATGAATCTATATTAGGGATAATTTAAGTGTTCATTTAAGAACAGTCGTGATAAGATAATAAATAAACGCGTGTTTTTACCCCTTGATAGGCAATAAACTGGAAACTGAAAGGGCAATCGGAGAGTATTTCCTAAAAATTTGGGCTGGATGAGACGGAATGTATCTTCGACTGACCATTTATACACATAAGATTAATGTGGCTCATCTGGACATGTGCATCCGTACTTCACCATTTGGATGACTACAGGGGCCACCCTCGTCGATGTCATGGAGTGCATCTGTTATGAGTACAGTCGCCGCAGTTGGCCGGGTCAATGGGCACGGTGGAGGCACGATGAACGAACATTCATTCATGTCCTTTTTGTTCTTTGTACACGTCATGTTTGCCCTCACCTTGATCACCTCGTCAGAAGACACACGTGTCAAGAGTACTGGACATGGTGTGGCGGAGTGTATCGATACACAGAATAATGCGGCTCATCGGAACATGTGCATGTGTGCTGCACCATTCGGGAAACTACAGCCGCCGCCCTCGTCGATCTCATCGAGTGCATCTGGTATTAAAACAGTCGCCGCAATTTAATGGGCCAATGAGCACGGTGAAGGCACTATAAAGATACATTCACAAAACGCCTTTTTTATTTGTACAGGCGAGAGACAACCGTTCGGTTTGCTTCTACAAAAGTAATAACGTGTGTATTGAGCTTCTACCATGCCCATGCTCACTGCTTTCAAATATGCTTGTTGCATAAGCTTGTGTTTTTGACTTGTTGTGGTGACGTAGAGGAAAAGCCGTGTCCTAATATAGAAGAAAAGGTCAAGTCGTTATTGAAAGATGTGAAGGAAATTAAAGGTCTATCAGCACTAATAGCTTGTAGTTGAACAAAACAACGCAAAAAGATGACATCAATCGAAACAAAACTTGATAGCTGTTCATATGCTGTGTGCTATTGTACGTTAAGAGTTGATAACCTGCAGAAAACAATTGATCATCTACTTTTAAAGGTAGACGATCAGGAAAATAAAAGTAGGAGGAACAACCAAATTATATATGGTATTACTGAGCCTCGGGAGGAACAACTTGAGACGTTTTTAGAAGTTACCCACAATATACTTTGCGATACCTTGAGTGTTCAAGGTGCTAAAATTAAACCCATTCACCTAGTGGGGAACGGAATGCGAAAAAGTGCTGTCTGGTAATTCTCAAATTTAGTATACTGGAGACACAAGGCAAGAATACTGAAATACTTCAGCAAACTTAAAGGTGCACACTACAGTATTCTCGAAGAATTTTCTCCTTCTATTCAAGCACCTCGAAGAAAGCTGTGGGAAAATACACAGAAAAATAGAGAGAAACATGAAAACTTGCTCTTCTGTTTGATAAAGTTAAAAGTAACACAAAACTTTTCAAATGAGATGAAGGAAGCAACCCCTATTGCGAAAACCAGCGCCACTGGGTACCAGCGTCCCCGTACTCTGCGCAAAGTGGTTTCACAGAGTTAAAACGGCGATACCCATTCACCATAAATAAATTAATACATAAAGAAAATACCACGAAATCACAATAAAAATAAAAAACTAAAAATTAAAAAAAAATAAGACAACAATTGACGGGATTTGAACTCGTACCCTCTGATCACTAATAGAGTACGCTAGCACTATGTCACGCCAGAACGTGCCCATGTGGTTGTAAAACAACTATTTATCTTCATGTTTACAAGTCGCACAGTCAAGACTGACACAATATTTCTTTCCAAATAACAATGGCGTCTTCATTCGACAGTAACGAACGGCTTTCGGGCACTGAATGACGTGCAGATATTAGCAAGAGCACAAAATTTTTTTAAGCATCTACATCTTAACTCTGAAAAATCTCAAATTGACTGGAGGAGCAGCCACAGATTGTCAGCTGTTGCTGCTTATAGTTTTTTTTTCTTTGAGAGTCGGTTCCAGCACTTGCTACTGGTCAACAAGTACACATGATTTACATGTCTTGTTTGGAAGATATCCACACACACGAGTGAATAATGAGTATTTTTTTCGTGCAATCGACGATGTAGCAGTACACATCCGGCATGCCAGATTACATATTTGAAGTTATATCGATACCTGCAACTAAGAAACCGCCGAAGAAATGACTAATGCGATCTGCTGAAAAAGTATGCCAGTATTTTAGTTCATTAACGTGTACCAAATTACCAACTCGAAATTGCGTGTTCTTACGTACGAGTCAGAGAAGTACCTGCTCCTGCGCTCTTAAGGAAGCTTTCGGTGACAGCCTACGTTGCTGAAAGCATGACACATCGATCGTCGCCGCTCTTTGTGCGAGTACCGCACACGCGGTTAAATGGTTGATGTCTAAACTGTACTTTACAGTCATTCTTACGCCTTAGAATTATGCCTACTTAAAGTAAAAAGCGCCGGCAGCAGGTACACCGACGCGGCTGGCACGATAGGCCTCGCTGGGATGTGCATTGTGTAAGGCTGCTTTCGAAGCAGCTGAGCTGCGATGCTTGAAGTTGTTGCATTTGAGCTTCTAAATATTTCTAACTGTTACCTAAACTGTACCCGAAGTAAGTGGAAGCTCAAAAAATGCCAGAAATGCATTTACGGAGTGGCGATGGCGAGCGACAGCCGTTTTTCTGGCCTCCGCTGGCAGTATACAGCGGGCCTGCCAGTGTACAGATATAGGCAGTTATATCATTACCAACAATTAAAAAAAGCACCCATAGAAATACCACTGCGATCCGCGGAAAACATATACCAGGGAGTCAGTTCACGAAGGCGTACCAAATTACCAACTGAAAATTGTGTGTTGTTACATAGCAGTCAGAGAAATACCGGCTAGCTAATGCCGGCAGCTTTCGGTGGCAGCCAGCGTATAGCTGAAAGGGCGAGGCATCGATCGTCAACGCTCCTTGTGCGGACACCGACAGAAGGCCAAATAGTTTGTTCACGTTCACGGATGTGTAAACCATACTTTACTGCTTCTCTCACAATTTAACATTGTGTGTACAGAAAGCAAGAAGTGCTGGTATCATATACACGGACGCGGCTGACCCGATAGACCTAATTATGCTCGCTTGGCCGGGCAAAGGGTAAAACCGTTCTCAACTCGGTGAGTTGGGATGAATGAAGTTTCTGCATTCGAGCTTTGGAACTGTTCTGACTGTTGCCTGAAGTAAGCAAAAGGATGAGTATGGTGAAACATTCATTTACGGTGCACGTGGTGTAATTGAATAACAGCTGTTTCTCTCGCCTACGCTAAGAGCCCTTGCGAAGTGATTGAGAGAGCTCATTTATGTCTCGTCAACTCGGAGGCGTACACAATTTGCTGATTCGGTTAGAACTGGCGTGCAGCTCCAGGCTCATAATACTGCTACCTAAAATTGCTACTGCAATACATGACTGATGCGAATATGCTATACGCAGGGACATGCATGCAAAAAACGTGCGTTAATTGCTGCAATACGTGCGTGCGTCACGAAAATTACATATGCTCGAAATTTTTTACGGTAGCATGTATCCGTGTCATTGAATCAAGCGTCTTATATTCAATGACACTGGAACATACCACGACACCCAATGCATAAATGAGCACGCTGCGCTGGTAGAAACACTGCACGCTCCAGTATTCACCAGCACTTTGCAGTGAAAATTCCAGCGCTTCCAACGCTTCCCAATGTGCACCAGCATCCCAGTGGTTAAGCCAGTGGCTCTACCTTTGCTATGCAGCTATTTCTCAGTGCTTCCAGGGGAGTACCAGTAAACAGCGTGTACTACTGTCTCGAGCATGTACTCCCAAATACGTACTCAAATGATGCTAGAGATACCGTTTTTTTTTTGCAATAGAGAGAGCTAACGAAAAGTATTGATGCTGTTAGCAAAATTAAACTTGACGCTATCCCCGATGAAAGTAATTGTATAACCAATGCACTTAATGACTACTGTTTTGTCTGTGTTTTCTCACGTCACCATACAGCCCTCGTCACATCCGAAAACTAGTTAGGCTATCCCGGATATAGAAATCAATGAAAGTGGCATTTTTTAGGCCCTGTTGAATTAAACACCGAAAAATCTATTGTTCTAAATGGCTTACCACATAGGTTGCTGTTCAGATGCGCTGAGTGGTGCGCAAAGTATCGGAGCATAATTTTCAAATACAGCATACGGACAGCGGAAATACCGTTAGAATGAAAAATGGCAAAGGTGGTGTGTATTTACGAGAATGGTAATAAGTTTGCGGTAATCAAATACAGACGAGTTTTGCTACTATGCACTAGTATCAAGGTGTTGGAACATTGCATATTTTGGCGTCTGTGTTCTTTCCTAGAAAACAATTATTTTTCAAGTAACCAACATGATTTTGGCGCCGCTTGTCTACCACAGCTCAAATCGTTCACTATAAATGATCTCATGGTAATTCTTGACAACAATGGACAGACTGACATGATCATTATTGATTTTGAGTAACCCTTGGACAGTGTTTCATACGGACACCTAATGTTAAAAATCTGATGCCTTCTTGACAGCCCTCAGATTGTACAGCCACTCGACACGTATCTTTCGCGGCGGAGGCAATTTGTTCACATAGGCAGCTTAGGCTTGGATTTTGCATTTGTAAATGCAGGCGTTCGCCTGGGTTTGGTGCTCGGCCCGTTACCCTTCTTAAATTAAATAGTTACAGATCAGATTAACTCACCAGTGTTTTGACCTCTATTTGCAGTCTACTGCGTTGCATACATGCACATTAAGTCAGGGACCAATCAACAAATACTAAACAACTTCTTAGAAGCAGTTTGCAACTTGTGCTCAACATGGCGCTAGCGCCTAAACGTTTTCAACTGTGTGCAGATGAATTTACACGCAAGAGGGAGCCGCTAAACCAGACCTGTATCATCAATAACGTTGCACTAGAGTCGGTAGAGCAATTCAAATACTTGACTTTACACATGAATTCTACGCTAAGTTGGAGTAGTCACGTGCCATACATAGTTTCCAATGCTTTGAAAAAACTTTACATGTCAAGAAATTGCATGATGCGTTGCACTTTGAAAACTAAGCTTATGGCGCACACGACATTAGTTAGAACGTTATTAGAATAGGCTGACCTAGTATGGGACCCACATACAAAATGTGATATCGACTGCATTGAACGCATTCAAAAAAGCGCTAAGATTCATTTTCAACGCCTATGGCAGGCATGTGTCCATTACCAACCTCAGATATTTAAGCAAACTTCAAGCTCTAGAATAACGCAAGAAACTGTATCTTCTGCAAATGCGCTAAACTTTTGGCAACCATTATGCTGCAATGGACTTCACTGGTTACATGCAGTATAACAGCGCAAGGCCAACGAGATGAAAGTACAGTCAGGAGAT